GATGAAATGCCTGCACTGCGTTTGACGGATGGATCCGGGCACAGCCAACAGAGTCTTCACGCACTGCACGAGGAGGCGCTCCGAGTGCAACTTGATGGCTGATGGGAGGATAGTTTGGGGCAGCTCAGCCTTTTTCCCGACTGGTGAGGACGTCGTCCTTCCGGCACTCGCCAGCGTGGCCCTGAAACGTTGGACGCTGCTCTCCTTCTTGAGTGCAGTACTTGCTTGGGTCACCCAGATCCAGCTCGGACACCACGATGCGGACGGGCTCCCACTCCCCAGTCCCCTCTGCTCCTGTGGAGGTGGTGTACGCTCGCCAGGCACTCTGGCCCTTTCGGGGTAACTCCTGCACCATCTTGACTGGGCGTGAGTCGCTCCTCGCCATTATCTCATCGAACATGCATCAGTGCGTGGCGGCGGTGAGGCGGCCGGTGGCGCAGCAGCAGCAGCAGCAACAACAAGGGCACCGTGGCGAACAGGGGCGGGCGCATTGTTGTCACCCTCGTTTGCCGGGCCTTCCGAACAACAACAAAGATAAAAGAGAGAAGAGGCGCATAGCTTGACAGCGGCACGGTCAACGACGGTCGCAAAAACGCCTCAACACGGACCAGGGAGCGGCGCACACACGCAAATATATATGTCCACAAAGGAGTGGTGGTGGGCAGAGGCCGCCCCCTGTGGGAGGCACACACAACACAAGTCTTCCTCCCCGTTCCCTTCATTCTCCTTCTCCCCCCTCCCCCCTCCCCACCCCCCCACCACACACACCCTCTTACACTCGGCGTGTGCGCGCACTGTGACAATGCCATTCGTTGCCATTATGGCCGCGGCCCATGCGCACTCCGCCCCCAGCCGCGGAGTGGGCTATTCAAAGGGGCTGTGCTGCAGGATGGTGGTGTCGCCGGAGGAGACGCTGACGGGCAGGCCTCCACGAATGACGCACGCCCCAAGGCGCTGCACACACTTCCCCACTCACATGGCGGAGCGAGAAGGGAAGAAAGCTGCACCTCCAACCAAAAGAACCCAGAAACTCCCACACACAGCAGCAGCAGCGGCGGCAGAAGCCACTGGAAGCCCTCCTCGAGCAAGCCATTCGACGCGGCTCGTGGCGTCCCATCTCCCCCTTTTGTTTTTCTTCCCATCTCCTTCGTTTCCGGTCGCAGTGGAGCTATGCGCACCGACGAAATGGACACACACACACACACGCGCACGCACACATGAAAAGTCACACGTGCTGACGACGTCCCGAGCAGTAAACAAAGAGGTGCTCTCTTCATTTTTGTTTGTTTGTGTTCACGGCACAGTCCACTCCAGCGAACGTGAGAATTGTTCGCGGTTGGCAAAAGGAAGGCCCTGCTAGTTCTTTGCGGGGTGGTGCTGTTCCATTTGATGCACGGGAATAGATTTGAGCAGACACATCCAATCCTCCTCGAAGGGCGTCTCGTCCTTCTTGTCAGGGATCTGCTGCATGGGCCAGTGCCTGCTCACATTGTACAGCGGCATGGGCTCAGCCGAGTGTGGGGTCGGTCGCTTCCTGCAAAATACGGTTGAAGGACCCAGTGGGCGCAAGTTTGGAAGTTTGAGCTCATTGGGCTCCGCTGCGCGACCGTCGCCCAGTGAGGCATGAAAGAGGCCACGCGGCGCGGGCTGCAGGGAGACGCAGGGAACAGCGCCAAGAGGGTGGCCGCTGAGATCTCCTGCGGGTGCCGGGGGGTGAGGGCACTAGACCACGGATCGCCACCACTCTTTCAGTGACGAGATGCAGCTTCGCCTCCAACAGGGCATCTTCCGGCAGACTGCTTATCGGAATTCCCGCAGTAGGCGTGCACGCTTTGTATTGCGCATAGCGGAGTGCAGGGTGAGACACTGGAGAGGCACCCCAATGCCACACCCCGATGCCGTGTACACGGCCCTCGCCCGGGGCAGGGCAAGGCATAACCCGCGCAGGGTTTCCCTCTT